CAGTGACACATAGGATAGCATGATATTCCCAGAATATTTTGCATCTATTAAATCTTAAACTGATCCAACAATCCAACCCAACACAATCACGATGTCGAATGACTCTACATAGAACATCTTTATTCAACACGTTTTTTCTGATGATAAAACTTCTTAGTTCAAAACTTCTGATTTCTTCATCTTGGACACTCCATAGAATTACTTAATACTTTCAGAATATTCAGTAATTTAAATCACCTGTATTCAACCTGTAACAAATCAGATGTCCTGCTCTTCTGGTTAGGACATCACATACGACATGTTGAAACTGCTAGTTAAAACATTTTGCTTAACATATTTCTGCTAAGATAGAACATCCTATGTTCTTCCTAATTTGTTTTACTAAAATTAATGTCAATCATAAAATATAGAATTAACAAAAACAACCTATGATGAGATTTACTTTTACTATTTGAATCCTTCTTTATCAAATTATATTTTTTATAGGACTTTTCAACCTTTGAAGAATTAATAGCAAAAGTACCACGTTGTTGTGATACTTTGTCCACTTTAGTTTTAAGAGTGCTCATCTCTTGTTGTCAAATTTGACAAGTTTCACGATCAAACCGATATGGTTCATTATCTTCCTTTTTATGATTTTGACTATCTACAATAGATCACTTTAATGCTTCAAGTTGCTTATTGATTTCTTCAACCTTTGCTTCCAAGTATGTAAAAAATTTGGAAGGTAACTTCTTATAAGCATGTAATACATCTTTTTGTAGACTTTCAAAAATATTTTTCAATTCAATAAAAGATGACTTATCAATGTTAGAGTATTTAGAATGACTTACACTCTTTTTTTTGCTTTGACGTTGATTGATCATGAAATAATAATTTATCTCCTCATCACTATCACTTGAGCTTTCATTACTTGAGACATCATATCGCTATCCCAAGCAACATAGGATTTTCTAGATTTCCTAGAATTGTTTTGTTGACTCTTTCCTTTCTTAACAATAAAAGATACACAATCCAGTCTAAAATGGTCTGGCTTTTCACACTCATAGCACATATCTCTTGTCTTATCCTTTTTGTTGTCTTCATCTTTAGAGGATGTAGATTGTCTTCTAAATTTCACAAGATTTTTATCGGAGTGTTTGACACCATTCTTCCAAATGTATCAATCATCATTTGAATCTTCTTCATCACAAGAATCACTATCATTAGTGTGCTTATCCTTTGAAGATATTAAACTTGAAACTCTAAGATCTTTAAACTTCGTTCTTTTCTCCTTATCGGTGTCTTTCTCCTTTTTCTTCTTTTTCTCAAACTTCTTTTCATGTTTATCCAAACAAGTGAGTTCTTGCTCGTATTCTTCCAATTTTACAAACAAAGTGGTGAGATCAAGTGTTGCAAGATTATTGACTTCCTTGATTGCCGTGACTTTTGGTTGCCAATTCCTAGTAAGACATCTCAAAATCTTATTAGTAGCAATGACATTGAAAACAGGATTACCTAACAAATTTAAACAATTAATAAAATGTGAAAACCGGTTTTGCATTTGAGTAATAGTTTCACCATGCTTCATACAGAAGAGTCCGACCTCTTGATTAAGTGTATTAATTGTAGTTGTTTGACCTCATTAGTTTCCTCATAGGTAACTTGCAAAGTGTCACATAGCTTTAGCGGTCTCACAATGAGAAATGTGATAAAACTCATCAACACCAAGAGCGGATATGATAATATTTTTCGCTTTTCAATCATGTGTCCACTTCTTATTATCTTCCTCATACCATAGTGCTTCCGGCTTGGGTGTGTCAACACCATCAACACGATGTGTTATTGGTGTAGAACCATTTTGAATGACTCCCCACACACCTTTGTCATATGAGTTAACATGAATTTGCATACAAGTTTTCCAATAATTATAGTTTTCTCCCGTGAAGATTGAGGCTCTTTTATAATCCCCTTTAGGTTCTTACGCCATATTCTAATAAGAGTTTCAAAACACTGAATGAACTGGACTCTTTATGTCACTTGTTAGACAATGGCGACTTATCTAAAGAGGGGTGAATAGATCACCAAACCAATATACCAAATAAATTTTGATTTTTAAAAGTTGATTGAAAATAGTGCAAGCGGAAAGATTTTATATAGATCGATTAAAATCGTTTATACGAACCTGGTTATTGGAAGTTGGATATGCAATATAGCCTTATGGAACGAACAACAAAATAAACAAATTTATTCACTTAACACAAGTATCACAATATTATTCGTTTATAGCAAGTTACTAGAAAAAACTATTTCCAATGATAACATGCAAAAACAATTAACTATGTAATTTATCAAACACTTGGTGTGCGGTCGAATTTTCATAATTTTCCTTTGAATTATGTTGATATTAAAAAGCACTTATAATCAAAAGTGATTATAAGCTAATTAACACTAAATTCAAAATAAAAATAGCAACTGAATAATTCTTACAAGTCGATCGTTCAATCAATGCTATTTGACAAGTGAGATCGACACAGATTTATTTAGGAAGTTCACCAATAGTCCTCGCTATGACTACGTCTCCCCCATTTCAATTTTGAAATTAGGATAAATTCTTTCTATGCAAAAATGTAATTATAAGAGAAGTGTTTCAAGAACAATCCCACAAACTATTGAATTCTTATCATGCTCTTGAATTTTGGTGAAACTTTGATATTCTAATGAAACCTAATAGTTGATTGTGGTTTAGAATTTTCAGCAGTAAGTAGGCCAAAATCTGGGGAGAATGTCAAAATAGTTAGAGTAGAGAGAAAAATAATATAGTCAAACAACACATTCATAGAGTTTTACAGTGTTAATATAGTATGAAAGAATAATATAATAACACATTCATAAGATAGTGAGAGGGAATGGCTAGTTACCCTTGTATTGTTTTTTAATTTTAAAGCAAATCCATGTACTCTCGGTACCAACAAGGATATTAATGTTTCCTACATGACAAGTCATATAAAACTGCTGCCATGTATATATCTAACAGGAAATATATTAGGGAAATTTGCATAACAGCCAGCACTATAACACTAATAAATTAATTTGAGTTCTGTTATATGCCGACAGTCATAACAATTTTGATTCCTTGAATGCAAACCTCAATGCACACCCCAGTGCTTGATGATTTATATAGCCATATCGCGCAGAAGACTTTGGGTAATCACCTTATGGATATAAAGATTGGTTTCAATAATAATGAGATGCGTGAAGAGCAGATTTGAGGGGTTGTTGCCAACGGCCGCGTTATTCAATCCAGCTTGGAGTCAGGATGCACCTTCATAACAAGATTGCTGTCACAGTCAATAAAAATCTCAATGTCAAATACGGCATTGGAAACAAGCAGTATAGTATTCTACAATACATTAACATCGCGTCGAAAACACAAACAAATAATGTAGTTAGCGAAAAATCTTGAAAAAAAAGCTTATGATGCCCTCAATTAAGTCTCTGTCATTGCTCTATAACTATTCTTCAGAAAAAATAGTAGAATCCAAATTCAGGTGTAATACTTGCCATTTGTTCTATTTAATGAATTTGCCTTAGCTTTTGCTCTGTTATAAATGAGGTGAAAAATATCATATAATATTGTAGTTTAATTTATTAGTATCTTACATTATCTTTTAAGATTATTTTATCAAGTATATAAAATCCTATAACTTCAACATAGTATCATATCAGAACCATCCTCTATAACCCATTCTATCATTGTTCCATTGTTGAGTTCTATGAAGTCTAGAACCATCTTTATACTTAATTTCTTTTCGTCCGGTGTGCACAAATTTCAGCCAATTTGTTCAACTTTTTCATCTCCAGTTTTCAAACTCCTCGTTTTGCGTCATCTTTCAGGCTAATTTAGTCTCAACTCATGTTTCCACTACCGCCTGCTATCACGGGAAGATTTTTCCAACATATTTTCTTATCAAAGCCGTCGACAACAGACTTGCAGGAAGCTGATTTTGCACTCCTAAAATTTCATCCCAAATCGGCAAGGCACACTCATACATGCTGTTTCTTCAGGGAGCTTCAGGGAGTTTATCATTTAGGATAACTTTTCATATTTATTAAAAATTATAATCAGTAGCAGCATAAGTTTCAATAAAGATCTTGTATTGGAATCATTATACTATCAAACCATAACCATAATATAAGCCATTATTTTCTTTCTCTTCCCTCCTTGATCTAAAACTCTAACTTAACACACTACATTTCTATTACAACCCCAAATCTATAATAGTAACCTCTGAGCTCTAACTTAACGTACTCATGTCACTTCCTTTTTCTCATTATTTTTCTGTTTTGAGTGAAATTTGTGACTTTCATTTATTAGTATGATATTATTTATGTATTGTAGTTTCTTAATTATTGTAACTTAACACAACTTTTTACTTTTTATATTTCTATTGTGATGTTTGTTTCGGTATATATTGAACAATTTAGAACAATCTAGTTCTCTTCTGATACATTTTGATTTTATAAATAACTCTTGTTTTTTATTGACGTGCAAACCTTGATTTTTTTTTTAAATGTCATATCTCATACCAGAACCCGTACCTATGCATCATTGATTATAACTCATGCAACTGAAAATTAAAACCTCTCTATAGCCAATCTTATAAAGCAACATTAAGGCTATATTATTAGCACCGTAAATTGTAGATTTAACTGTCATGCAATCATTAGTTTTAATCAAAGCATCATAGTTTTGTAATCTTGATCAGAAGACATACACTTGGGTAAAATTGCTTTGTTCCTAAAAGCATGTTACTAAAAGTGAAAACATGTATCTTTTGCATTGACTTAAGAATTTAAACAAAACTATTATACAGGAAACTTAACAATTTCGATATACAAATTTCAAAACAAAGTTCATTTTTCTTAAATATTTCAGTCAAAGACAATTAGGGAAAATCAAGACAACTTCAGTTAGAATATATTTAGCTATCAAAGGTAGAAAGTACCTAGGTTAATGTTCACCAGTAATCCCGACAGGAGCATAGGCCATTTTTAAAATGGTGGAACCTTTTAGCATCTCGGATGATGAGTTCTCTTCCCACAAGATCAGAAATAATCTTTAGAGCAGTATGACAATCACCACAAACGCGAAGATTTTTAATTACTCTAATGGAAGAACGAGCAGAACTGTTGAGGAGACCATAAGCAACGGCAAGTCTCTCACTGTGGGCAAGGAGAGCATCTTCTTTGCCTTCCTGGTCTATGTCATGCAACACATATTTCGTCTCTGCAATATAGCCAGCTTCTTTCATTTGCACCCTTAAACCTCTAAGCAAAGCATAGATCTTGTCATTTTCTGGATGGGAAGTATCGCCTGCTCGATATTCATGGATTTTGCTCCGAACTTCTAGAAGATTTTTGCTTGCTAATTTGTTCTGCTCTTTGTTTTTTATTGAGTCTGAAGTTTCTTCGAGTAAAAGGCCAGCTTTTGATTTCTCATTCAAACGAGAAGGATCCAACTTCTCAACTAGTTCAGCACAACGATCCCCCAATTCGGTGTTTCCATGAACTCGGCAACTATTCATCAAAGTCTCCCATACCTCTACACTTGGTTCCATTGGCATCTTTTCAATGAACTCCAAGGCTTCACCAAGATGCCCAATGCTACCAATCATGTCAACTAAACTGACATAATGTGCCATAGTTGGCACAATGCCATAGTCCCTATTCATGGTTTCAAAGTGCAGCATTCCCTCACCAATATCTCCGAGCATACTGCACGCACCAAAAACCCCTATAAACAGTTGGCCATCAGGTTTTAGTCCCAAGCTTTTAAATTGAGTAAATATATCAATTGAATCTTCTGCAAACCCATTCTTAGCAAGCTGCGTTATCATAGTATACCAAGTAGTCAAATCGCACTCAGTCATGTTCTTGAACACCTTGACCGCATCATCTACAGAACCACATTCAAAATACATCCCCAATATTTCATTACACGTGCTGACGTTTAGAGGCGACAAATGTTGCAACACATATCTGTGTACAACTTTTGCCTCCTCAAGAGACCTAGCCTTCCTACATTGGTGCATTAATTGCAAACATCGATGCAAATCGACATGAATATGAAGCTTTTCCAACATTTGCAAAACGTCAACTGCTTCCTTCACTTTACCCTCCATGCAAAAAGTATCCAGCTCGTCGAGTGTACCTCTATATGGACTATCATTAGATGCATCAACTGATTCGCCATCAGGTTTTGGATTACTCGATAGATGAGATCCAACTGTTGATTTCTGTACCAAATTAAAATTTGGAGGATATCGACCGTCTACACTCTGCTGAGACTGTCCATAAGCAGAGTACTGTTGACCCGTTTCATGACTCCTTCTGTAGTACTCATTTGGTGTCTGCTGAAAATGACCAATGTTTTGGATAACGCTCCCTTTAGAGTACTGTTGACCCATTTCATTATTCCTTGTGTAGTACTCATTTGGTGTCCGCTGAAAATGACCAATGTTTTCGGTAACGTTCCTTGTTGGATGTCCTTGATACTCTAAAGGCCTAGGAAAACTACCTGCATTGGAATACTCCACCTTTTCTCCAGATTCCGGTGTCCAGTTATGTTTCTCAAAAGCATTAGGATGTATCCTAAAACCCTTTGAATTATCAACACCTACGCCAACATTATGTTGCATTTTCAAGTTCCTTTGAACAAAGTCCCCATTGACACTTCCATTATACTCTGCAGAATTATTTTGAACTACATTCTGGGTGATATTTACATGACCTCCACCTGCATTTCGACCAGCTCCATAAGAAATTGGCTCTGAACTAGCATGATCATTTTGATAAGATCCACTTGCATTTCGCTGATAAAACCCAGCTTGATTTTGTTGGTAACCCGAAGAAGCATCTGCTTTAAAACCACCTGAAAACTTAGAATCCCACCTTTCAGCAGCAGTTGATATAGTCCTTGACATATAACAGCCATTGCAGAACCTCAAAAGAGAACTAGCTGTAACTACTGAGGCTTTCCTAGAAGACATCATTAGGGACTTAGCATAATCTGAGAAAAGGAAAACTAGAATAAAAACAAAGTTAGAAAATTATATCAATGAATGAAAACAACATGTTTCATCAAAACTCAATGAACAAATAAAGGAAAATTCAACTAAGCCATAAACCCCCATTTTGATAATCACATAAAAAGGTTAGTAGGAGATTGTACCATTAAAAACTAGTTAACACCAATTGTGACAGAAAAATTGTCAAAGAGCACATAGAACAGCATATAACATTGAGAATTTCATTTCAATGGTTTCTATTCTGCCAATTACTTTCCTCATATAACAATGCATTCATATACTAACCACTAACCAGTAATAACAGGCTGGTTGGCCCACATAGAAAATAAACTCAATGTGACTTTTTTCTACTGAAAATTAGTAATTGTTGTAACGTGAAATAATCTTATTATTATTATTATTATTATTATTATTATTATTATTATTATTATTATTATTATTATTAATCTTTCGGCAACAATTAAATGAAAATATTTCCTCAAAAACACACATTAAAAAGAAAAGGAAATGGCTTCAACACTATCCAATTGCTTAACAGATGGAATCAAATGAAAGTGTAAAACAGGATTCTAGTCAGAATGAGAGGAAAATAACCTATGAGGCATTGACACCGACGACGAACAAGACACCGGCACAAATAGTAATTCAAAAAATTGGAAAAATTGAATGTAATTACATGGGTTAGCATCGCGTCAGTGTCTAACTCTTACACATTTTGGACACCGGACACACGGTTAATCTGAAGTGTTGGTGCTAAGTAGAAAATAACCAGAGTAGTCATTCGGGATAGGACCCCAAAACTGGCTGAAAATTCTAGCTACTCTTCAAACTCACTACTACTGAAAATTCTAGCTACCAAATGAGAATAACGTAAAAATGAGAAACATAGCTACAATTATATGCTGTGAATGGTGCCGCTTTAGCGCCTAATCGGAGAATCTGCGGCGAAGCGATTTTCGTTTGAAGGAGCGGCTATTGCGGCCGCAAATTGCACGCGTTTGAGAAGTTTTTAAGAAAATTAATGGAAGAATGAAAACCTGGAGAGCTTTATCGGTGTTTTTGGTGGCCGGCGACGAACTCAGGTAGCGTTTTCCGGCGGTTCAGTTGAGTGTATCTGTTGGAACTTGTTTGGGATACAGAGATATACAAGAGTTCGTTTGATGGAGCAGAGTTTTGTTGTTTTAGGTTTTAATTTTAATTGTTTTTTTATTCTGTGTTTTAATTAATTGTTTATTTTGTTCTTTGTGAATGAGAATGGGCCTCTTCCAAAGGAAGTGCATTGGACCTTGTATTAGAATTCCATAAGATTTTGTAGAGTATTTAACTTACCACCCTACGAGTAGATCATGACACCCCCAAAAGAAAGGAATTCAGGAATTGAAAATTTTAAATCTTCAAGGTGATATCGGAAATTCTTTAGAAAAAGAAAGTTGAATATCAGAAAAGTGAGAATTTTCAGAAGAATTTCATGGAAATTTTAGAAATTATGGTATTTCTTATCGAAAGTTTCAAAATTTCTAGGATTTTGTAAGGATATGTTATCGAAAATTTTGAAATTTCCAGTAGTTCAAATTTTTTGAAAAAATCTGGAAATTTCAAAATTTTTGATACCTCCTTTTTCCACTAATTTTTTATCGTTTTCTATTTTTTTCCAGTGAGGACCAGGGGAAGGACGAGCCTATTAGAGGCAGGTTGACTGATAGAGAGGAAGCTCGGGTCAAGGTTGCTGAGGTAGTGGCTTCCCAGCTACATATTAGACGAGTTGCTCTGATCGATTCTCACCGGAAGTAGATGACTGAGCAGGCGCAGGGCCAGTTTTGTGCACCCCGACGCCGAGCTGTTGGAGTTTTTGCTGTTGTGGAGGTACTTGTTCTTGTGTAGGTACTTGTACCTGTTATTGATGAGGTACCTCTTGAGGAGGTTGTTGTTGAAGAGGTTTATGGTCCAGTTGAGCAGGTTCTTGATGCTAATGGGGTGTCTCCCATACCTCATATTGTCGATGATGATACTCTTACCGATACAGGATTTATGACTTGTGCTTCTACAGAGCCAACTATTCACATAGATGGAGAATTTCTAGGAGGACCTAGTGATTGATTTGTGCTCACAGAGTATGTTGACCATATCCCATACAAATTATGGCCGAGAGAGGTATATATGTTATATTTTTTAATTGAAAAATATTTATTATGGTTCAGTGATGTGTTGAAAGTTAACTAATAAATTTTTTAACATTGTTTCCTACAGGAACGTCTGATACTGAAGATTGCATTCCACTGCTCGAAGTTGAAGAACTTCCCACTGAGTCTGATGCCTGAGCAGGTCAGGTGTATTGTTTCTGATTTTAGTCTCTTAGAGTTTGCCAACTACTCACTGACCATGCTTGATGCTTCACTCATGTCTAGTTTTTTTTAGCGGTGGCACGAGGAGACATCTTTCTTTCAGCTTCCTTTGGGGAAATGACTATCACTTTGGATGATGTCTCTTTGTTGTTTCATCTCCCCATCGCCAATAGATTCTTTACAGCTTCTGTCATTAGCCAGACGACAACATTTATATAGGTTGTAGATGATCTATAATTCGTTGAGGAGGTTGTGCTAGAAGAGTTTGATTTTAACAGGGGACTTCACCTTCAGATGTCTTGGCTGCAACAAAGGTATCATGAGCTTGTGGATGCACAAAGGTATGAGGTTGTCGATAGGGCGTACATGATACATCTAATGGTATGTACTCTCTTTGCGGATAAGTCAGGTGTTTATATTGATATTTGATACATGTGGTTGTTCAGTATCCTAGAGGCTTCATGTTGGACTTGGGGAGTAGCTGCGTTGACCATGCTTTATACTGCACATGGAGTTGCGACTGTGCCTGAGACCAGATAGCTTGCTGGTTATTTGAGTCTATTCCAGGTATACGAGCATTTCTTAAGTGTTTTATTTAACTGTTTTATGTGATATTAATTAGTTTTTATTTCTCCAGTGTTGGATATACGAGCATTTCTCCCACATCTGTAATAGAAGAGTGCAGCATGCCCCAGCAGACGCTCCACAAGAAAGGAGATGGAAGGTCGGGCAAGGAGTTCATGGTGGTTTTGCGGAGTACATGAGGAGGCTTGATGCTTTAATAGTATATGATGTCGTCTAGACACCATACACAACTCATCGGGCCCATCGTGCATTTGACGATGCTTCATTATATTTAGGTCACATGGGGTGGAAGACCTTGGTGGCTAAACATTTGTCTGATAAGTGTATCGATAGTATGGTCATGTCTAGGACATCCCTCGACCAACTCTAGAGGCTCCAAATAGGGGCATTAACAGATGGTTTCAGAGTAACATTATCAGCTTTATATGTGCCATTAAGGCTGGTGCAGTGAGGGTTTAACATCCTCCGTAGTGTGAAGATGGTTACCTGGAGTGATATCTTATTATATCACACCTTTGCATCATACCACCTATTATAGGGTCTTCTGATGTTGGGGTTTATGAGGATGAGGTACAAGCTGACAATGTGCCGCCACTACCACCACCTCCACCGGGCACAAATGACCAGGAACGCCTCCAGTTGATTGTTGTTATTATGGATAACCTCATTGGTTTGGTAAACCCGGATGGTGAGGTTTTTACAAGACTATCTTGGCTAGCACACATAGCTCGTGCAAGCCTATTTAGATTTTTGATTTAATTGTTGTATTTTTTATATATTTTGGGCCTCATTCTACTTATCACAGTACTTTTATTGCATAATATTTTGGTGATTACGTGTTTCGATTCGAACATGAACATAACATAAAACAATACAGTAAACATAAATTAAAAATAATAAAACTTGAAAACCTAGGCACTACTAGTGGATTCTGGACGTTTCAACATCTTGATTTTTATCGTCGACATGAGATCTTGAAGTATGCGCATCAAACTCGAACGGACCCTTAGCTATCCTACGGTTAAATGATTTCCACATGGTTGTCACATCTTTATTGATCTTCAACTCAATCAGGTTGGATTTCACCCTTCCATTAATATCAATCCAATCTTTAAGAAACTTGATCTTTCTCACCGTTCTATTATCGGTATCAAGCACCAATTCATTAAACTTATCTGTCAAGTTGGAGAGAGATGTGGCGCCATCCTAAAGCATGAACTCAACAGGAGGATTATCTCAATTAAAATACACTTCTAACCTTAATCAGAAATTGAGGAAAAGGCATTTTTTGAGATGTCTTTCTCTATAACATATGCTCTTATTTATACAACTTTGGGCTCATTTTAAACCATACAAATTATCGGTGAAATCACAATCCTACAAAACCGTCGGTAAAGTCCTAATAGTTAAAAAAATTAGTCAATATACTATCGAAAATTTCACCATTAAACTAAATTCCTGGTACAATATGGTAGATTTTGAAGTTTCTGGAAAAATTGTAACTTACTGGAAATTGCAAGATGAAGACTGTGTAGTTTTAGATGAAGCTCCAAATTCAATAATTTATTTAGATGTAAATATCCACCAACAAGATCTTCAACAAATAAATATCCCTAATTCTAAGAACAAAGCTGATAAAAGAGGAGAAATAAATAAAGTATAAGATGAGATTTATACCTTGTTCGACACTATCAAGCTGAAGAGAATATGGAAGAAAAACCTTCAATTCCTAAAAGTGATGGAATTCCTACTAAAAAAAGGAAGAAGAAGGATGATGTGTTTTTTGTGTCATATATGTTTCCCTAACAAAAACTCGAAGCTTAAGAACTTAAAGAAGTGCTTAATGAGAGGCAACCCATCAGATAAGTTTTTATTTCATTTCCAATTTTAAATTTCATCTTATTTCAATTAATAATTTTATTTTGTAGCATGTCGTATTTTTGGAGGTAACTCACTGTCATTAAAGCCTAGGCGTGTTCCTGATGTCAGATTGGCCACGACTCCATCAAATTGATCCATTGTGATCTCTTTTGTTAC